AACTGGAGAAATGGCAATTTCATCTATGACTAAATGAAAGAAATTTCAATAAAATTCGCGGTAATAACAATACACATTAGAAATCAGTGATATGTTAACGTCAATGTATAGACAAAGAAATCTACGGGACTCCTTTACCAGAAAATTCCCTGATTCTGGTTCAAAAAAATTGATAGTAATAAGAAAAAAAGATTGATGAGTAAATTGTACATCCTTTGATACATGAGATAAATTCGGTTTCATACAAGTAAAGTTGTGAACTGGGAGAGTCTTGTAATGGTAACAGTTAAAGCAAAAATTTATTTCTTTTCATATATATATAGCAATTTTTCAGTGGCCGTATAATATGAGCGATCAGAACTAACTTCGTGGAGGACAATTAACTTAATAACTAGAGTTCTCTTTGTTTAAATATATAGAGCAGATGCAAGCGCGTTGCCTTTCTTGGAGGAAAAATTATAAAAAAAATTAGCTTAACCTTTTGTAAACTTCTGCTCACGAATCATAAACTATCAGAATTTGTCCTCATTTTAAATGGATGACGATTTCAGTCCAATATTGAATAGAGAATTTTTATAAAGATACAATTTTTGATGCTAGCGATAGAACGCCATCTAAATTTTCCTTTCTGTCATTTACTTTAAAGCTCCAGTGTTTCAAACAATTCATTAGTTCATAAAACGTTTTTAACCCATTCGAAAAGGCATTGATTATTCCAAGAAACAATCTTCTTTTCACGGTCAATTCTCAATTGGGTATTGTATTCAAAGGAGTTAAATTTTAGCTTAATGGGATAGCTGTGCAGGTGTAAATATTTAATGAATCTGACCTGACCGCTGTAGTGAGTCTCTAATTATTCTCGCTGTTAGACAAATATTTAGTATCGAACTCAGGGCTTAGAACTCGCCGTGCTATAAACTAAACAACACTGTACATATAATTGCGTGAACCGTTGTAAGTTCCCCAGGTGGTGGTGTGGTCCTTTTGATCTGTGCCGTCCACTCAAACGCATTTCAGCAGCGTTGGATTTTGTCTTCTTAGCACAGATTTGAAATTAAACCCTACCACTTTTTCGAGCGTAATTAATTAATTGATGACTTCTGGGTCAGCGCATGGCGCGCTTCATCGCGGCCACTTCGTACAATTTTCTCAGTCGTACTAGCTTCAGTTCAAGGGAATTGTTTAGAAATTAAGGATCACTTAAGCCCATTAGAAATCTTCTGTAAGGCGTGAAGGGCGGTACATTTGCGACCAGCCGTGCACGTATATCCCGCAAGTTTCCGATAAAGTTAGACATTTGTTTCATTGTAAAATCCCCAGCAAGCTCTTAAGTAGAATATACGGCCTAAAAGGTTCGTTTCTTCCAAGTGATACTGCCTACGTTTCCCGCATAAATTGATGCGACAGAATCAGCCCATGCGGTGTGTGTTTACATTCAGCTTTTTTATAAACAAATTTAGTTCTTTACGAGATAAAGGGAACTCGGATTTCTCTTGAATCTGATAGACTTCATAGAATACGACCGTTTTGAAGCTGTAATTCACACTTGGGTTTTTTCTCAAAGGCCAGAGTTGGGAGTTTATTTTTCTCAAGCTAAAATACCTTCGCTGTACTAAGATTTTTGGGTAAAATCACAAACCTTACAATCCCAAAGCGTTTTCTCTTGTGAACAACGAATAAAACCGCAGATTATGTTAAAATAAATGTTTGCACCGAACGAATTTAATTGTCTTACGATAAACTGACTTATTGAATTACTGTCCTGTACGGGTGCAACTGAAAAATCTCGTCGAGGTGCTTTATTCTTGTACCATACATGCAACACAGACATTCGTTAAGTGGAAACTGTTCGCTAGATTGGAACACGGTTGAAACGAAGCACAAAGCCAGCTTTACAGCTGATAAATGGCTCAACTAAGATTGGTTTTATTGAAAAGCTTGGCTTTTAGTATAATTACAACGGTGCAGCGCTTAAGTAGAAGAACCCCGCCGTGGAAAGCGCAAAGAGAATCTTTTTATCAAACCTAAATGCGTTACTATTCTTAATACTCATTTCCATGATTTTTTATCAATGAAATGGAAATCTGACAAAATAGGAAGAAGGTCCAGAATCTTTTTTAAAACGGCAGTTTTCTTTTATTTTCATAGCCATTCTTAAAAATATTCGTATTTGGACTGAATATCAGTTGTGTGATGCAGCAAAATGGGAATTGAAGACTAATTTCGCAAATTTTTGTAAAAGTCTGGAGTTCAAAGGTAATGACTTTTACTTGAGGTTCAATTTTATTTTTCGCGTCTACATCGTGATTGAGATCAAATTAAAGATATATGGAGCATTTATCTTTTATCATTACGTCTTCAATATCCTCAAAGCAAGCTGCTCAAACAAATATCTTACTCTTCCCATCAATGAATAATGTTTAAAAACAGGTAACAAAGGGCTCTAACAAATCAAACTTGAGAGATGTGATAAGACTTAAGATTTTCACTAGGAAACTTACGCAAATTGCGCTGTAAAGTTGGGGAAGTTATTCGACAAAAATCTTTACTGAGTGTTCAAAGGAGACAAATTTGAAATGAAATTATATCTATGTGGTAAGATAAAGTTTAAAGGTTAATAGTTATGGTTTTTCATTAATGATTTCATATTTCCATCAGTTTTATTGAATCATTCAGATTATATACATATATAATGTATATATATATAAACACGTTAATTCATGGATCAGAGTGGGAGTTTAACATTGCAGTAAAAAAATGATAAAACATGTCACACAAGACGAATTTCAGACACTAAAAAGGACTAATATGGATGGAATTTCAAGAAAGTTTTGAATTGTTTTCGTGTTTGAGTGGAAAATAAGGATTTTATTTTACACTACCGTCCGCACTAAAGACGATTGGCCCGTATCTTTTACCATAAACCAACACGAAATTAAACCAACACGCAATGCTTATCTATCTCTTTTTTCGCCTTATTTTAATATCTCTCAAACTACTGGCGTTATTTATTAACATCGTTATATCTTTAATCTCGAGGCTGAAAAGAAAGTATGTCTGTTTTCATTTCAACTTCGCGCAGAAAACAAATCTTCCGTAAAATCGTGTTTGGGAAATATTTGATCCAACTTCCTTGTTATGATATTGAAAGCAAAACTGTGTTTTCCTTTTAACGTTTACGGATTTTAATTCAAACAATTTATTCCTCACAAATAATTAAATCTATTAGCGCGACCATATACGATTAACCTTTTGGTTTTGTTGACAAATTTAGATGCCATATCTGTGAAAGCTTTTTGTCCGTAGGAAAAGAAAAACATCCATCCTCTTTAAGCAGGCAACCAAGCAAATACGGCTAGCCATTTTGAGAGCATTATCCTCACAGCCAGTTATGTTTAGCTTTTGTTCCACTCAAGAAGTTTTAAGTTGCTCGTTTAGTCAGTTAATGATTATTAGTAATTCATGGAAGCATAATGCTGACAAAAATTTTCGGCTGAAATTATAAAATAAGTCAAAATTTCCGTTCGGACAATTCTGTATTAATACGCAATCAAGGGAGTTTCCGACATGGCTAAATTGGTAAATTTTACCGCCCTGCAGGCCGTCACAAATAATCTACCACGGGAATCTTTTTGTAAACTTTTATTCAGAAGGGTGTATTGTTATTTTAAGTTTTCTGTCAAGGAAGACATCTCCGGAAAATTTGTTTAAAATATTCAGTCTTGATAACATAGTCCTTTCTCCTCATTAAATCGTGCAGCAATGGATGCTCCTCTTTTTTCAATTAACTGAGTGAGTGTTATCCATTACTTAAATGAAATAACTAAATACACTCTGTTTCACTTGACTCTTCATAATTTAGATGTTATTGCGCGTTATAGAGCTAAAGCACATCTCAATTGCTTGTTAAGTAAACATGTCACCTTAAAAATGGAATATTTGTCAAGAATCAATGTGATTTCCTCTTGAAAATAATTTCCTGAGAATTTCTCCTTAAACTTGTCTAAGACGGCAAACAAAGGCGTTTTCTAAGTAAGCTCGAATGAAGCAAGGTTTCCAAAAGCCTGCCAATCGACACAAACATCCTCGTAAGTTAAACTGCAAGCTTGAGTGAATTATCCAAATCGTTCACTATCAATTTTTTTAACCGGCTAAATTGACCAAGAGTTGGGTAAAAATTTTTAAGATGGAACGACACAGCGTGTTTATTTTGCTAAAATTCACTTCCAGTTAACAAATGCTGACGCTATTTGTTGAAAAGCTCTCAGTTCTCGCTTGCAAATGGTTCTAGTTAATTGTTATGAAGTGTATAAATACAATTAAACAAGGCGTAAATTACGCTAATAACTCACAAATGCCTTTCACTGCTTCAATAAAGTATTTCGCACCTGTGCCATCTGCCCGAGGAAAACCAATCAAAAACCGAAATCGATCCCAGCTGGGTGTTTCTACCAATCACAGCCCAGATCCGTGCGTCAAATACAGAGTTAAACGTTACTCAAACAATCGAAAAGTATCCTTGTTTTTAATTCTATTTCTTTCAAGAAAAGTGCAATTTGCATCAAGAGATACCAAAACAATTACCCCTCTTAACATAACTTCCTCTCGTCCTTAAAAAAGGGTACAAATTTCGTAAACTTAATGATGAAAACCGCAAAAATTGTTATGAACTCGGCTTCTACCTCGTGGCCATACGTACGATATCTCTGCGATATGGAATACGATTTTAACATCTATGACTAATTCTGTTCGATATATCACGAGATTGACGATTGGAATTGAACAATAATAATCCTCGATTTCCAATGGGACGAATTTGGAATACTAATAACCTTTGTTAACAAATGAACTCTCCGGAATAATAAACGATATTTATTATCTTCAGGTCCCATAAATAATAGCGCGAAAATGATCACATCATATCGATAAAAGCTCTCTTTCAATTTCCTGTCCATATAAACCGGGCTAGCAGTATATTCACTCAAGAGAAAACAGATCCTTTGAAGAGCGCAGTGCTGGTTGAGCAACAAGCCCAGAATGCAGAACTCGTCCGCTTTCAGTGTTGACTCGCTGATGGGAAAGAAGACCCTCGACTCTAAAACGAACGATGTGGAGAAAGAAAGCGAGAGAAAATCGGCATTTTCTGTCGCGCCACCGCTACCAAAACGGGAATTTCATCCTCCCAGTGTCTGTAACTGCCAGCCTTGTCAACAAACGGCTGTGTCAGGTTTTACTGCAATGAGTCAGGCTGTAGCCGAACCAAGGTTTATGTCTTTACAATCGATGGCTGGAACTGTATCAGTGCCTGCTCCCGTTTATCTCCCGAAAGGTGAGTGAATTCTCATTCATAACTGATCCCTTAAATTGAATTTTTATGAACTTGATGAAAGAATTATTTTTGTGAGTGCTGAACCATACGTTATCCAAGCAGCTACTGTCGATTTAGATTGTCGGGTGAAATGTTCTTGTTGTTAAGTGAAATCTGTCATTTGGCTTTAGGGCTCTATGGCCGGAAAGATGTCAAATCATTGAGGAATTAGCTAATTTTCAATGACCCTTTCGTCGTGAAAAGTAGTTGCCAACAAAGAAAATATAATAAATGTCTTCCATTTTTACTTTTAATAAGGTATGCTTGCCATCCAAAAAATAAAAAGATCATCATTCAAGATTTGAAATATGTGATGGTTAAAATAATGTCAATTGTTGCTCATTTTTCTGCACATTACAGGGCAATTTGTAAAATAAAACAGTACTCTCTTTATGTGGTTTGTTCAAGGTATGAATGTTGAGTAACACTTTATTACTGTCCGTCTAAACTATTTCACTAACGTCATTAATTTTCTCATTCTAAAAAAACCTTTTGGTTTCAAGCTAAAGAGAAAAACTTGAACGAGGTGTGTGATTGGAGAGGAGACATGAGAGACATTTTCGGAAGATTTTCAATTATCTGATGCCTAAGATGCCATACGACTGACATCATTTTTGTTAAGAAAAATTTTTTTATGCCTCATTTATTTCTTTTTTCCTTGCAATTACATTTTTGGAATTTTCTTTTGGAGATTTCTATATGAAATCGAGGTTTTAAAACTGAAAGACGTACACTGAAAAATGATTATGAGAACGAAGATTGAAACGTGCTTAGTTTCCGAAGGCCAGCTATTCAGAAAAGTAGAGTGGGCAGGGAAAGAATGATAAAAGAATTAAATATATCCTTTTTGTTGCTTGGTTTGCTTTTTTCCGCCTCCAGCTTTCGTCTTCGGAAAAGCTCTTTCAGTAACGAAGACTCAATGCTCTCGAACGTGTGAAATTTGCCGACCTTTAGGGTGTGGTTCATCGATCTTGTGTGGGTGTCTATCATTCCCGTTCGGTTTTATTGATTTAAAAACCTTGGTGTGGCTTGCTCTTTTATTCCACTCCGCTGATGCTTTGAATATGTGAAGAGATTTAAAACAATTCTTTTATCTCTTTCGAATTCTGTGCCGCATGTGAAATTTAATGTTTTTTACCACCGAGTACATTGTAAAGTATTTTGGATACAAAGAGAATTGTTTTTGGTAAAGCCGGAAATCGATTTAATCGGTTTCGAGGCATTCTAAAATCATTAACGCTGAGTTTGGGCTTGTATTTTTTTAACAGTAATTTTTTTATTATTAAAAAAAACGCGAAGTTATTGCTGCCGTTTTGTTAGACTTTTCAAAAAATGGGCAAATAAGATTTTTTAAGAAAACAGTTTTGATCGACTCAACAGAAACTTCACCGTGAAAATAAACCTACACACTTTGACAAAAAGACTTCACGTCTCAAATGGTCTTCAATAAGACAGATGTAGCACGCACTTTTGGGAGGGCTTAAAGGATATATTTTCCAGTGACCAGGGAGTTGAGAAAAATTAATGGTTTAACGTTGCTCTGAAGATATGATTAACAAAACCAAACTGATTGCGCCGAAAAAGTTTGATTTCCTTCTTCGTAAAGCGTTAACCATGAGAACAATTTTAAGAAAGACAGATGACAAAGTGCGGCCGGCCCTGATGTTTTGTTTTCGACCCAAGGTCAGGAGAAAACAGTTTTGTTTGTAACATAAATTTCTTTTGATCGTGTTTGGTCGCGCATTTCCTAAAAAGCTATTTATGTGCAGTGTGACACACTTGTAAACAAAGAAGCTCACACAAAAGTTCTCACCGATATAATTAAGTGGCTAGCTTTTGTTGTTCGCTTGAGCATAAATATATAGAGAAAGAAAAGTTGAAAATTGTTAATTGACTGCTCATTAGCGAGTAATAAAACATGATGTATTATACACGACTCGTTCACAAAACGCAACCTTTTACTCTTCGACTTGAGCAGGACAGATTTTTGCGTTTGCTATGTCCACTTTCAAATTGCAGAATTACGATCAGCTTACTTTTTCATCTTGGTCCAAAACGTTTCTTCTTTATAGTATCTTTCATGAGCCCTCCGGAAATAAAGGTTATCCCTATTTGAACATGTTTTTTAATTCCCATATCACAGTGAGTTTTCAAAAACATCTTTAATGAAGGAGCACTTATTTCTGCACTGCCCATCTTTTCATTGAACACGATCCGCACCTTATTAGTCGTTTTATGAAGAGCTTACCAAAGCCAGTGACTTCAGCTGATGGTACATCTTAAAATTTAAGGACACAGAAAATTACAACTTTCTGCGAAAAAAAAAAAAAACATAGCAAAACAAAGGAAAAAAGACATAGCAAAACAAGATAAACTGCAAGCGCATGTGTCTTCCCAAGAACCTTGAAGAATTTCTATAATAAAGAAAAATTCTGGGCTTAATGCTGGGATTAAAGATAGAAAAGCACCTTGTAAGAAACAGGGTAGGTTTTTAGTTCGATCGTCGAATGAGGTAATTCGTGAAGCAAATGTCGCCGGCCATAGCTCACCAGATCACTTTTATACAACCAATAAGCTGTCTTGGCGTGTGTGCAAGAGAAGGGGTACGCGCAAATTACTTCCCTCTAATAGATGTGACAACTGTCTATTTGTATTCTTCTTGATCCCGGCGTGGGTATGATACGATTAACAGAGGGTAAGAAGTTTGCTCTTTCAATCAACGAAGAGCCCATGTGCTTTCTCAATTTGAAACTTGTACAAGACTGAATTAATTGAAAATTTTGTTTTGCCATTCCCTTAATTAGAGCATTACCATTGAACGCGTAAAGTAATAACACGATAGAATTAGCAAAGGTTTGAATGTATATCAGTGTGGCAGGAGAACTCATCGTGCGCTGACTTTCGATTTTTAACATGTTTGCTCCACCCACAATAATCTCAGTCGGTGCTTACAGTTCAGAACGCTTAATGATAAGATCATCGATTCTGTCATTGTTTCATTCCGACTCTTTTATTGTTACATTATCCTGATATCAATTTTATTTTACTTTAGCAACTCCGCAAAGAAGAAAGAGAAAGGAGAGCAAAACACGCCGACAACGCACTACCTTCACCAGCGAGCAAACTCTCAAGCTTGAACTTGAGTTTCACCAAAACGAGTACATCACTCGATCAAGGCGTTTTGAGTTGGCTGCCTGTCTGAACCTGACTGAAACACAAGTCAAAATATGGTTCCAAAATCGCCGAGCGAAAGACAAACGCCTAGAGAAAGCGCAAATGGATCAACAGTTGAGAATCGCAAGTTACGCGGCCGGAGCAGGGATCACATACCCGCCATCTTATTTCAATTATTATTCATCCCACTATTACAAAAACAACCCCACTCAGGTCGCAGGCAACATCACTCAAAGGGTTGTGTAAACAGAAATAAATTTTTGGAAGTGGGGCAGAATTATTTATTGTTGTGCAGACTACAGAAATGAACGTTTAAACGGTTTTCAAACATCTACACCCGTAACTGACAATTTATATTCCACTGGCAAGTGTTAATCAGTGTAAAAAGATTCCTAATACTTACTTTGCATGCGCGAGAATCTATAATTTCAGTCACTTTACAACCTTAATACAAGGTGCCTGCTTTTAATTGCGTGAAACGTTCTCAGACACAGAAAATTAAACAATTTTGGCTGTGCAATTGTTGTTTTTTTATCTAAGGGAGTGTTTTACTCTGAATTCGAAACATTTTGTTGATTAGAACGATCTAGTTTGATTTACGTGATATAAAACACTCAAAGAACCTTCTAAATGAATTGTACATATAAATGTTATATTTAGGTTTTCTGGACTATCTTGTATGGTGAGATATGTCGCTTTTCATGCGAGAGTTGCTTGTAAACTACTCGAATAAATTCAAGCTCCATTTGTAGACGTAACCAAGGAAGACTGGCTGAAATATGTATATTCGAGTTTTCCCGGAAAACTACCCCTTGTTATTGCATTTTCTTCTAATTGAAGAAATAAATGATCAGGTAACCTCAAAGAACCATTGTGTTTTATTGGGTTTCCATCATTCATTATCATCATTTATCTATTGCGTGCGACGTAGGAGAACGCTTATTTGAACCTACACCGTAAGCATGTCGTTTTGAGTCCCGCGGGTTTTATGATATCCGCGTGTATCGATCCGAAGCGCGACCGTTTCAGCTTTTCGACGCCATCTTCTTCGATCTCGGGTATCAACCCCTCTCAATTTGAATCGCTGAATCAAGCTGGCAAAGTAATGTTCCGTGCGTTGACTCGCGTCGGTCTGGATGTTAAGGAAAAATATGTAGATTAATAATGTACATGAAATAATTACGCCCTTCTGATTGGCTGAAAACGAGCGCCTTCTCATGTAACACGAGTGCAAAGTTGTAACACGAGTGCAAATTACAAATAGCGCGCACACGCTTTCAAAATTTGATCTGTCATGAGTTTCTACGATGTTTTTTCATGTACATTATTAACAAGTAATAACATGATTTATCTTACACTCACCCACCAAATTGCACTCAAAATCATATACTACCTATACAAATTGCACCCATTTGATCGAACGACCTGAATTATTACAAATTAAGAGACGTGGGCTGTGCTATCATCTGAAGTTCGCAGGTTTAGTATACCCAGGATTTTTATTACGCCCATACAAAATAGCCATTCTTAGGCTAGATCGAACCTAGCTCATTAATCCATGATTTTACTAGTTTTGCAATATTATCAGTAATTTTCATCATGCCGAGGAGCCAGACGAGGCAATAAACAAAATAATTACAAATAAACAAACACTGTAGAGAAGATAGAAAAAAAGGAAAACAGAGACCAAACAGAGAAATTCACACAACAAAAGAAAAGTTCCCCCTTTTTATTAATCCCCTTGACGTTGAGCAGAGAGCCTCCACATTAAGCACCCCGATCTAGTTTTCCTCAATGTGTCGCAACATATCGCACGTAACCTATTCCTGGCTACTTGCATTTGTTTAATTTTCTTCGCTATACCTCTGCATTATTCCATAGATATAATCATTTTATCAAGAGAAGAAATTTAGATACTAGGTTAAAGACACCTTTCACTAAATTGTTTAGCGAAAAACTAGAAAGAATGATGCGACGCAAATTCATACATAATGTGAAAGCTGTTACGAAAATGTGGTGGCGGCGTTTTATTGTACCGACATCTTGCCAAGTAACGGCATAACCGGTATCTTCTCTGTTAAATAAAAGTCTCAGCACGAAACGTCAGCTTTGAAACTCTTTACGGTGGTTAATTTACGTTATCAACTCAGTTGATAACACTAAATTACCCAAGATTCAAAAGGACAGGCTCGATCTGTACAAGGTGCCACTGCAACAACAACGCACGGGCGCCGAACCGATAAATTTGTGCTATAACTAGAGAATGAAGATTGAAGACCGGGGTAACCCCAGCTGAAGGAGCCATGGAATTCTTGTTCTGATTTTGATACAAGGAAACTCTTAGGGGAGCCACATGTTGCCGCCAAAAGTTCGTTTTTTGTATCTTATTTTCCTTCTCTCAACCGACCGCTTAATACTGACAGGGTGCCGATGCCGCTTAATTTGAAATAGGTTACACTGTATTTTGGGACATAATGATGTGTGATCTACTCTACATTTATAATTTCGTTATCTTCTACAATCTATAGCGTCATGACGAGTTGTAAAAAGTTGTTTTAAAAAGAATGCAGTCTCTTACTTCAATCAAATTCCCGTTAGACCATTCCAGTCCAATTTAGTCTAACTAACAACAATAAAAGTAAAAAACCACCTCCATAAAAAAGAAAGTTTTGGGGTACAAACAGCAAATTATTTGATTTTTTGTTAAATATCAAATCAAAATATATCCTCTTCATGTATTCACAACCATACATTTATCACTTCATGGGTTAATTACGAAACAACAGCACGAACAGCTCTTAGTTGTCACGTAGCCCAGTTGGCAGAGTATTGCACCGGTATTGCAAGGGCTATAGGTTCATCCACCGTACAGGCGTGAATATTATCAAGTTTTACTTTCACTACTGCTTGAGAAGTGTTCATTATTGCGAAGACCACTCCACTCTTCATTGATTAACCTGCATTTCAAATATATCATATTCATGTATTCATAATTATTCATTTATCTCTTCACAGGTCTTTTACGAAACAACAAAATGACCAGCTCCCAGTTGGCTTGTTAGCCAAGCATTGCCCTGCACCGGTATCGCCGAGGTCATGCGTTCAACTCCAGTACAGGCCTGAATTTTTTTGAGGCCTTACTTTAACTACTGTTTAAATAGTGTTCATAACTACAAAGATCACTCCAACCTCATTTATTAACCTGCAGTTCAATGATGTGATATTCATGTATTCACAGTCAACCAGTTTTCATAATGTTGGCAAACATTACATCAACGTAGGGAAATATTTCATAGACTCCCCCTATTTCGTAGAAAAGGTTGTGGTTATTCATCGTGGTGAAGAACAATAAAAGCTAAGTTTTTCGTATGTCTCACAATGGAGTCACATGTGATGTAGATCGCGACGCGACTCCGCATATGGTAATTTAAGCTAACAATCTAACGATCGAGAAAGAATAAAAAGAAGAAAAAGACAATTAAATCTGACACAAAAGTAAACTCAAATACAGTTTCGAGGAGTATTTTGAAAACCATGTGATAAACACAGCGATTCTTTGTACCTTTCACGATAACAGTCCAATCTTCACTTGCAACAAAGGTCACTTGTCTCAGAGAATAATAATAATGATAAAATAAAAACCATTGAAAACAAGGAAAAAGGGTCGAATATCATACAGAGGACTATAACTGCTTCACAGCCAATCACAAAGACAACTGTCTTTGAAATATCTTCGGGATGTAGTGAGAAAAACCTTCCTTTATTTATTTGACTACCTCTTCCAAGTTATCTACGAATCGTATCGGCTTAAGACGTCACACTCCTTTCAGTTTTGATCTTTTGGGATTAACTTAAACAGAGGGAGAAAAATGGCCTGCGTAATGAGAAAACTGGTATAGCAACTGGTGACGCGCTGACGTATTTGTCTTTTAACTCTAAGTGGATGAAAAAAAATTATGTTACCACCAAGGCCAGAAATACCTTGGACAGAAATGCTTTGGAACTAAACGAATACAGAAGCGATCCTCACAGTTATGAACACAACTGAACTAGTGGTTGAAACAAGGCCTGAAAAAAAATTCAGGCCCGTACGGGATTTGAATCCATGACCTCTGTGATACTGGTGCAGCGCTCTACCAACAGAGCTAACAAGCCATTATGTTGGATTCCAATAAACCTTCTAAGTGATGAATAATGACTGTAAATATATGAAAATCATATAAGTGCCACCACGGTTGAAGAAACGAATTCAGAAGTGATCCTCGCAGTTATGAACACTTCTGAACTAGTAGTTGACATAAGGCCCGTACCGGATTTGAACCCATGACCCATAACCTCTTTATAACTGCGAGGATCACTTCTGTATTCGTTTCTTCAACCGCAGTGCACATATATGATTTTCAGTCATTATTCACCACTTGGAAGGTTTATTTGGATCCAGTTAGTAGAGCGCTGCACCAGTATCTCAGAGGTCATGGGTTCAAAACACGTACAGGCCTGAATTTTTTTCAGGCCCTATTTCAGCCACTAGTTCAGTAGTGTCAATAACTGCAAGGATCACCTCTGTATTCGTTTCTTCAACCGCAGTGCACATATATGATTTTCATATATTTACAGTCATTATTCAGCGCTTTGGAACTATTTTTCGACAACAATTGAGTAAGAAACTTGAAATACTCACTTATTAGCGGAAATGGCAATTTGTAATGAGTTTCTGTTTGCTTTTAAAAATGTAGATTACTCTGTTGCCAACCAGTATATCACGAAAAAAATTGATTTAACATTCTAAACTAATTTTTTTCCGCAGCAATTGAAAGCTAACTTTGCTGAAAAAAACTGAGAAAACCAAGCACGGGAGGAGAAGAAGAAAGAAAGAGGTTTAAAATATATGTATATCTCCTTATCTCAGATTTCAAACAATTCTTCACCGACTTACTCATGCAAATGTTAAAATTGGGTAAAAAATTACCTCCTCTCCGAGGACATTCTAGACATTTTTGCTTTCTTTTTTGCAAGTGACTGCGTGTATCTATCCTTATCGAGAATTTAGCAGTAAGTAAGATGTTATATTCCTATCAAAACCATCAACGATATGAAAAATTATCAAGTTATTTAGTCCTACAAATCATTCAGTCGTCTAAAATGATTACCAAGCTTAACAGCTAATTAGCCATCTTTGATATGATCACTGGGTGGATTTTTTTAAAGTAAAAATAACTATTCACATTAACCAAACAAACGGAAACTTTTTGTTAAGGACCAATGTTTGTGGACGTGTTCATAAATAGCCACTATAATATAATCAATGCCATATAATGCGAGCTACAGAGTTGTTAGGAAAATTGCCTCCAATCTCCGATGCCGATCAATATATTCCGCGGTAAGCCCTTTTAAAATAAAACGCTATAATTAACTTAATTAAGGTACAATGTTTCAAGCAATCTCCTTCTTTCCCTTAAGGGTGGACAAAGCCTTAATTGAATTTCCACAGTTATTTGACAAATTCAGAAACTCAACATCTGCAAAGAATGCTGTCACCAGCTAACGACAGGTTTATTGGCATCGGCAAATTAAAAAGAACTTGATTTCCTGTCTATATCTGGGTCGTTACACTAAACCTGCGAGCACAATAAAACTAATTTTTACAAAGCCCACGCCTCAGATTTGCATGAAAATTAAACGAGACTAAAATTGTCCCTTTGTTGCCGTGATTGTTCAAGGAAATGTTAAGCCTGGGAGACTGCAAAACAAATAGCTTTTGTGTAAGTCCTCTAAATAAGGCATCCAACATTTACAGTGTGTACTTTGAAATGTATACACGCGGCTATAGTTTTTATTACCAAAGGCTTCGCTGGAGTTTGATTGCTCTTAAAGTTTCGCTCTCGATCGCGGATTGGCGCATCGTTGACAGCTCACAAAGCTATTTATAATTTCGAATCTCGTTAATAGACCTGCACACGAACTGTGCAAATTAAAATGTGAAAAGGCTTTTGTTCGTTTGTGTACTGGTAGTATTTCCTAAGTTTGATGGTGTAACAAGCTTCATTTTTACCCCCCAAACGGATTGCGATTAATTTGTTAATCTCATTTGACAATGCCTGACATCGACAGGAAAAGGTGAAAATCGTCACGGCATGCTTTAAATCGGCCTGTTAACTGTGGTTTTCTAAATCTCAAGGCCAACACAAGGTGTTAGCGAAACAGTACATGATAATCCTCGAAACCTGATATATCTGTAGCGCGATTAAACTAAGCGTTTGTTTTTGATTTGTTTCTAAAAAGCTTTTGTGGGACAGAATGGGAAGAAGACAAATTGGATCCGAGGCTTTATTGTTCAATAACAGTGGAAAACGCTGAATCGATTGATATCATCATAGATACCTCAGAGCGCAACAATTGAAATTGTGATGTGGGCGATTAGTACTTTTGAACAAATTATATCGAAATTAATTCTAATTAGGGCGTGATTGTTCCACTTTGGCCTTCATTCAACCTTCATCAGCTTTCATTAACAAAAGATTAGGAAGTAATTGTCGCCGTCGCTGCCAATCACAGCAGGGAAGAGTAATTGAATTTGCGAACAGTGTGTGAATAAGAGGATAGATGGAATAACATTAAGTGACTGTAGAACGCTTCATAAAGACGACAACGGCACGTCAACACGAAGACGACCTAATTCATGCGAAATGCAGTGAATGTCCTCACGAAATATCCAGTCTTGGAAAATGCAACATAGATCGTTTCGAATTGAAGACATCTTAGGGGAAGATTCTCCCAAAGAGACGACAAATAAGAAACAAAAAGAAGAAGTGCAGATGACAGTTGTTCGAAGGCCAATTTTATTGCCAAGAATTGAGCCTGTGGCTTGGAACCATCGTGTGAATAATTGCTGCAACTCTTTTTCGATCTACGGACACCGTCCTGAACCGAAGGCTTGTTCATCACCGTGGCATTATCATAAAAATGTGCACGGATATCAAGGTGAGTGAGGGCTGCTATTGGTTCGTGCCTGTATTCTATACTGGCCATCCTACTTTACCAAATTTAGTTTTAGATTTTAAACTTCTTCACCTTTTACACAACAGTTTTGACGAATCAATCTGGCATAATTTTATGGATTATCGAGAATCCTTTAGATTCTGAGGAGTATTAAACTGTAGAAATATCATTGTGTCACAGCTAGGGCCTAACGAAAGTAATTAGACGAAAGTAATAAAGACGTACCTGGAACCTGATTGGAGAGGGCATAAATGATATCTTTTGAAATCTTAACCTGCAAAATCCAGAAAATCTGCAACGATTTTTTGCCAAAGGTTGTAACAAATTCGCTATGAAGTGCAGGGGAAACATATGAATTTGCCCTCGAATGCCATTAAAATCAACTTAAATAAATTCCAGTCATATTGTTAGATATGACAAGATGTTTGATGCAAACGTCCCTGTCTTTACGTAAAAGCCCCGATAAGCTAATTCACGTTTTGTATGTACGAGTTAAAACCAGCATGGATAGGTTTAGGTCATCAGGTAATCTCTTATTTACCTCCACGTTTGGCCCCATTTAGAACAACAACAAAAAAACGTGGCATATGTTCCATCTATGTAGATGTTTGGTTCTGGTTAATTGGTGCAAGTAAAATGATCAGTTGATAACTACATTGTTCATCACTAATATACAAAATTTCTGTTCTCAGTCTCGGTCTTTTAGGGTAATGTCGGTTGACAAAGGGGCACGTTTTTCTTTGCTCTAACAACTTAACTTCATTATGTCTCTTTGGCTTAGATTAGGTATTAAGCAGGGTACTTGTCTTGAAAACCACTTGGTTATTTAGACGATGTTTCTGTTGACTGATTGAAAAAAATACTTTCCTTTCGGAAAAAAAACATTCCGAATTATTCGAAAAGGAGTCGAACCTTGAACCTTCTGATCGATAATTCTTCGGATTCCTAATAACTGAAGTGTGGGAGACTTGATAAATATTACAGACAATCAAAAAGACAATACAGATAGCCACAAGGTTTTTATACCAGCCTTATAACAAGTAGGAAGGAGACAAACTACATTTTAGTGTTCGCTTTCTTGGATAAACTAGCCTAAACAATCCATTTTGAGCGAGCATTCAAAATCCTCTGCATTGAAACATTTTCTCGATTTGATAGCAAGAAAATGGCATCGTACAAGTGTCCGCTTGTTTCTTGTCGAGGAATTCTCTATACTGATGTGAACCCCTTACTCCGTAAGAGTGACTAGCTATGGCAACTAGTATGTCTTTACAGTTAAATTTCTGGATCAAACATTAAGGTCATGAGGATAAAGCCAATGATCTCCAACTAAAAAGGGCTTATGATTGTTGAACAAATTCTCCTAATCAGTACCATTGGAAATGTCTAAATAACGGTGTGGAGAACACGCGTACTGATCTTAAGATGCAAGGATCAAACGACAAATCCAATTCCAAAAGCCTAATTTAAGTGATTCCTGCACAATGTCATTACATTGTCAAGGACAAGTTTCTTTGATTTAATTCTGGCATGAAGCTGGATATGAGCCTTATCCTCACTCGAAAAGCTTTCAAAAGCTGTTAATAATATGTCTATATCGATCACTAATAATTTAACTTGTTTCCGGCCCTCAAGAATCCCGGGTATTTAGGCTAAAACGATCCTCATTTCGCCTCAAGTTGGTTTTAAGGTAAGTCACAAAACGCACCGTGTCTTTGGAGACTCGGGCGGTTTGAGTTTTAAGGCTAAACGTTACTTTACACGGTATCATATCTTTCCATTCAACAGACCCCTCTCATGATTTTTTCAACGCAAGAAATTTCACCATGAATGGCAAACAGCGACGACCTCGCACAGCTTTCTCTAGTCACCAGCTCCTCACACTTGAACGCCATTTCCAAGCTCAGAAATACTTGACTCGGCCGCAACGATACGAGCTCGCTACCAGTCTCATGCTAACTGAGACCCAAGTCAAGATATGGTTTCAAAATCGCAGAATGAAATGGAAAAGATGCAGCAAGAACATAAATGGGCGAAAATCGATGAAAAATAACGCAGAAGTTGTCACTAGTAGTTCGATGACATAGAAATCAGAGGATTGATTTTTCTTTTATCACAGCTGATGAACTAACGCTGTAAATATTTCATGACATTATTTTGCGTCATAGAATTGACTGTTGTTGCCAAGAAACAAAATTAAATTGCTTAAGGCTAAGGTTACTCTAAAGGATATATTACCATGAAATCATACTGATAATACCCCTGCTTATAACTGAGTCCATCCCATACCACCCACCCTCAGTTTTCGTTGTGTTATCGATATGGAACAGGGAAAATTTCTCGCTTCAATAATACAAATCTGTTACTTCCGTTGCAGTTAAATTACAACAGTTATTACTTGGTTACTATGTAATGAGCTTAATCAAACCAGGTGAAAAAGTGCATGCATTATGAGCGCAAACTCAAACAGTCGGAATGAAAGACTTCTTAACTCAATGATCCGAGTTACAAAAATATGTACACAATGAAGTAAGCTATAAATAAACAAAGGGAGTAAGCTTCTAAAGAAACTGAAGTGCTGTGTTGGTTGGGGAGAAGAACAAGATGATTTGTTTTTCAACTGAGTTGATAATTTAAATTGGCCACCGTAAAGAGTCAGTCTCTAAAGCTGATGTTTCGAGCGTTAGTCTTTCGTCGATTGTTCAGAGGGAGGGCTAACGACGCTCGAAATGTCACCTTTGAAAACCCCTTACGGTGGACCAATATAAATTATCAACTGAGTTGATAAAGGCAAATTGTCTTTAAGTAGGGTACAGTCAAGTAGCCCTGACCTAAAATCGTTTTTTGTTTTTCGCGACACAATGAGCATGACTAAACTTAAAATTACAGTTCTCGTTTATTTAACGTCTTGCTTAGACTGAGATACAGGTAAAGCTCAAACCAACAATGAGATAAAAAAAAGCAATAGAAATGAAATTTTAAAAAATTGTGACTGAAAATTTTCCACAATGCTTATGTTGTCTGTGGTGTTTTTTATTGATCTGATGTTCGTTTTAATTACCCCGCTCAAGCACCAGCCTATGGGCGATACCTTTCGGGTCCAGGCTAATTGAAGCAATTGTAATAAAGAAATCTGTTGCTGTTGGGTCCACGAAATCGTGTAAAAATGTTTTCAGTCGAATTTCAAACACCTAAAACGGGTTCTCTTTGCTTACGCAAGCTTAACAATTAAGAAAAACAGGAATGACAAATGTTATAGGTATGAGTATCTTTAAATACATAACTTTCCTTATGTCACATATTCTTGCCAATCAGTTATGTACTGGACTTACAAGGCACTGTACATTACTGCAGGATTTTTTTAAACGGGCGAACACACAAGTTTCTGAAATATTTTCATAAATTGTTTTTTTTAGGTGTCAGCACAAACTTTCTTTCTCTCCCATAAATCACGTACCTTGAGGTGCGGTTCACTTGACATCTATTGCGACACTGTAACTAGTTACACATCACAACCGCGTGAGATGGCATCGCAATCCAGGATTTTGTCTCCTGGCGTGCGGGGTGTGATGCACCTTTCTTCCGAATTAAAAAAATAAGCTAATTTTTCTCAAAGGCTTGCATGTGGCTTTTCCACTTTTTGTGAATCTTGCTCAACTGTCACACCACTGAAGAAACCAGAAGAGTATCGCAAACTCTTCTTACGCTGTGAAATCGACTCTCGGTCGGACTTTCCGAATTCTTCTTCGAGTCTTCGGCGGGAACGACGTGACTTACGTCGCGAGGAGTCCAGAGCTGTGTCCCTTGAACCGTAGAAGTGATCTTCTTCGAATGGAGACTTTCTCTGTAACAAATAAGATTTGAAAGATTGTACAAAGATAAAAAGGTATTGTAACTGAATATCAGGGCCTGGTATAGGAATCAATACCCAAATTTAATGTATGTAGCGTGCAGTTTATCTTACATAAGCCATGGCTTGTGTAAGACGAAGGTCTTGGGAAAGTCCCGAATAAGCCGTAGTCAAGGAATCATTCGTGTATAGAGGTTTATTTACGGATAAAATCGACAAACTCAAACTTCACGGCGGCACAATAAAGTATTTTAACATTTTTGTAAATAGAATAAGAAAGATTATAAGTTTTCGGCTCTGTAAAGAAATAGAGAAAGATGTTTTTCGTCTTGTCACGGAACTCAGAATTTTTTCGTCGTCCCACGCTCGTGACAAGACTAAAACATCTTTCCCTATTTTACCACTTGTTAGTAAAGCATGGCTTTCCTTCTCGCGGCGAATCGTAATTTTGGTTGAATGGATACAGTCTATCAGCAGTGGTATCACGTCAAATACTCTATTTTCTAACTGCATACAACTACCTTGTTCTCGAAAGGTCTCTGACGCTCTCCAATCTTGTACGGTGGTGGTGATTCCGGTGATTCTGGTTGATGGTACCCAGAATGCATAAGGGGCTGTCTCTCAGGGATCTGTTGTAGCCTAGAGTGACTCGACAACAAATTGTCGGCACTCTTACGCATGCTCGTCTTGGAATATCTTCGTTCTCCCATAGCCATTTCCGGTTCCTCGGCTCCGTCCGGACGCCGATCGCGATCGCTGGTAGATTCAGAAGCGACCAATGAATAATACGATGAGCTTCCTTTCCGGTTCGGAAACGATTGTAGTTGAATTACATCACCTCCAGAAGAGTCTGGAATCGGTAGACCTTCGATTTTCCTAAAAAAAAAACCAACTTGCTGACAAATGCTAGGTATCACCGAAACTTTAAATTAACAGTGACAAGGTTGTTATGCTCACTTCGTATGAGTTACATATCGTGTTTTTGGTAGATGATAAGTAAAATCCTTTGGAAAAGCATGACCGCCATAACGTATGCACAATTCAGAATATAGTTTTTGCTAGAGCACGTCTGCAATTTTACTTGCCTCAAGTTCTGAGCTGCTGAGAATAACGCTGAACACAAGAAAGTAACTGTACGTTCATGGAAAACCTTCAAATAAGACTTTCGCCGTAATTTTTAAATCACAAATCACTTGTTCTGTTCCTACCTTTTAATCGCGGAGTCCATTGGGGCGGGGGTGTCCATAATTGGGGGTGGGTATTCTTCTTTATCGTAAAAGACCCCGGATGTGGTGGAGCCAATACGGGAAAGTCTCTTGGACGAGCCTCGAAGATCCGTGTTGGACTCTTTGATAGAAGGCCTGGTCACTTTGTATTTACCATCCACTGCATTCGCACCGTAATACTGGAAAAACAAACCAGAAAATTTACAAATCTTGGTTTGACGTGGTCTTTACTCCTCTTGACAACGATATTCGTCATTACAGTGGTCAAAATGTTGTGAACCCAGGAGACGCAGCCGAGTGATTCTATAACAAGCTACAAAAAATTTACAATGTACATTTAAGAAACGAACCAGGAGTATGGTATGGTGTCATCCCCTTGGTTGGGATATAACCTGATCACAAGAAAACCCTGTAACTGCACTCTATTGCTGCGCCTATTCAATCGTAGCCGACAAGCGGAGATACAACACTTCTGGCCAAGGCAGCCAGATATATCTATCAAAACCAGACACATAAATCAAGCGATCAAATGCATCAAACCTGAACTGTGTCTGTGGTACTGTAATAATTCCGTTTTTCCTTGCTCTGCATTCTTTTAATCTGATAGTGGAACGTAAAGTTCTTGACCTAAATGCACAAAAAAGATGACATAACGAGAGCTATTTTAGGTCCCAAAAGTCAAACCAGGGCCCTATAAGGCTTTAAAGGACCAGGGAAGGTCGGAGGATTTTTTGTGTCACAATAAAATTAACCTGATCCTCCCATAAGGTTCTTTAGTATTCTAATGTTCCCCCCCTAGCTGGCAGTCAATGTTCTTCAGTCTCCCCTTTTAACCTATGTAGGCGACGACAGATCCCCTCTCCGTTCCCCCCTGAAAATCGTGTGATCCCCCACCAAACCCCTAGCCCCATGCCCCCCTCCCCCCCCGCGATGAATAATGACTGGTCTCTAAGGAATACAAGAAAAAATCAACTTACGGTCTGATCCAGGAAACAGTAAACAAGGAGTAAACTTCCCTAAAACAAAATAAAAGGTGTTAATAAAGAATCTGACTTTGCACAATTTAACTTTCGCAGTTTATTCTGACCGACCATAAAAGCGCAATCATGAGTCTTTACCTGCAGTATACATGCGCCCGCGAACAAGTACTGCCACAAGCTCTTCTCGTGATGTCTGACATAAATGGCGGCTACAACCCAGGTTCCCGCGATAGCAATAATGAGGAAAATTAGGAACAAGACTGACAGACTATGGAGAGGAAAACACCGTTGATTAAAAACATCCGAGTAGTTAATATGGAAAGACAGCATTGAACTTTTGACGATCAGTTGATAACTTTTCGGACTCTTGGTGCAAAAGCTTGGATGAAAAACCGATATGGATCTACATTTTTAGAAACTTCAAGAGGTCGTAAACGTTACTAGTACCCTTGCTTGAGATGGAGATAGTTTTCGAATCAAAGAAAATTTATGAGCTGGCTATCTTATTCCAATAAACCCCCACAAGTAAAATCAGTGTTGATCATTCGATGAAATGAAATGTTTGGAGAACTTACGAAGTTTTACTTGAATTTGTGAGTTAGTTACGAAGCACTCTGATCGGTTGAAAAAGCTTACGAACGAAGAAATCTGAAGGAAGTAAGAAAGTCGTAGTTCGATTGATGCTTCTAATATTATAAAAATCACCAACAGCTTGATGTTAAACTAACCAGACTTTCCTTCTGTCTTTAGAATCGACAACTCGTCCCTTATAACAAAGAATCATCACTACTAACACGAGAGTAACCTGAAATGGATCATTGTAAACCTGATTTTAGCAGGATTATATCATAAAATAAATACCGAAGAATTTGGATCTTTTTTACTTAATTTTCTTAAAGGATACGATGTAGGTATAGCTATTCGATGTCCAAAAAAAAAACAACGTCTTAAAATGACACTACACGGTCTAAACCTTTTACACTCCAACAACAGTGTTCGTGTTCTCCATACTGATCTCTTTATATTTCCAATGGAATTAACGAGGAGAATTTTTTACACAATCAATAGCTTCTTCAATTGACGATCATTTCCTTTAGAAGCTTCTCAAGACCTTAATGTTTGATTCAGTCGTGATACTGTAGAGAGGAATTAGATGCTAGTCACCCTTAAAGGGTTGCAGTGGAGTTGTTTCTTCCCTTCTACGCTGTGCGAGATCCCCTTCCAATATGAAAAAACAAATTACACGATGAGTGCAACGATCTCGTGAGTGGCTTACCAAAGTAAATCCAGCGGCTGGACAAACGTACGACCACATTAACACGTGTGAGTAATCTAGCCAACACCTATCCGAAAGGAGATCTTTTGTTAGTTTCAGCCTGGGCAGTCTGTGGCTCTTAGGCGCGCGATGGGCGGAGATAATAGTCAGTGGAAGAAAGGGCAGAAAAAATGAAGTAAAAAACTGCGAAACTTCCCTTTTGCTAGATATACCCTGTGGGCCGGTTATCTACTTGAGGTTTAATTCAAATTACGGTTTTACATAATCGTGGGTCTCAGGCTTTCTCTACAAGAGGGTTGATTTGATTAAATAAATGTCCTTCCACTGTTAGCTCTCGGCCCTCTTGACACTGTTCACAGATAAAAGGTCCAGCTAAATATAGGATTGTTTAGGACGCGGGTTTGTTAAACAACGGCTCAACTTTGTTTAAATTAACGGTCCTGTGTTTTGTCATTCCGCTTCAAAAAACCAAACAAACAAATAGACGCAAACCTAACACAAGAGACAAAACATGAAAAAGAGTCGAAAGTTTAAGTAAAAGCAGAGAATTTGGTAACTTAAAATGAAGGAAGTAACTGAAATAGGTTTCAA